ATGGTGCACACAAAAGGCATCATCACTCACGCGCTCCGAAAGGTTGTGTACGTGAGCGGCCCTCGCGCGCTTCGCCGCGCTGCCCTCACTCCCCTCGCGCCCCGATACGCTCGCTCCCCCCATCGACCGCTTCCCCGCACCGCCCGCCTCCCCTGCGCCGCCGGTCCGCCTCGTGTCCGCGGATTCCTCGCGCATGTCCTGGCGGAGGGACGGCGGGGAAGAAATGAAAGTGCGACGGAAGGGCAAGGGGCAGTGAGAGTGTGGGGGGCGGGGAAGTGTGGCAGCAGGGTGAGCGTGGTTGGGAATGGCGGCAGAGTAAAGGTCATGCGCGTCAAGCGCGAGGGAGGAAGATTTCGTATCCCGTGACGGGCGCACGCTGCGTCTTTGCGCATGCTTTGCGCAGAATCAGCTAATGCGCAGACGCAGCTATTGCGCGGAAGCAGCGCGCGCGGCGCACCGCGAGGCACACGCGCACCTCGGACTTGCCGCACTCGCTCCCCTCGAAGGCCTTCCTCTTCCTGCCGCCGCCCCACGCCCCCGACTCGTCCCGGCTGCCCCACGTGTTGCTGGTCCACGCGCTCCGCTCCTTCATCTCGCGCAGCGCCCTCGCCACCCGCTCCTCCCCGTTCCGCATCCCCGTTCCGCCTTCCGCCCGTCCCGGCCACATCCTGTCCGCCTCTCCCGCTCCCACGCTACCCGCCATGCTGCCCTTCCCCCTTTCCCCCACCGCCCCTGTATTTGCGCTGTTGCAGCGCATGGCGGCTGCGCCCATCCCCGTCAGCGCGCGCCCCCCCGCGCCACCCGCACTGGCGGAGTAGCTCTGCACCTGCCGCTGCCTCTCCGCACTCCCCGCCATCGACGCCGCCAGCGGCGCATACGGAACTCGTTGGCCCGCAACGAACGCGCGATTCGGCTCCCCCGTTCCGCAGTTCCCCGCAGCCGCAGATACGTCAGCGGAACCGGTGTCCGTCATCCCGCCCAAGCCTTTCCGCATCGCGAGGCCGCCGAAGGAGCTTCCCCCATCATCACCTCCCGGAAGTTTAGCGCCACTGGCGGAACCGACTTCTCCTCCCCCCTCACCATTTCCGGCGGCTGCGCGCCCGCACCACCTGTTGGCTGGCGCTGGCACCCCACCCGCACTTACTGCTGCTTGCGCGCCGGCCGCACCTTCCCTGGGCTTGCGCGCAACGGCGTTCGACGGAGATTTGAGCGGCGGAAGCATGGAGCCGGGAGCGTTCCATTGCGCGGAGTCTCCCGCCGCTGAGCCCACGCGGGGAGGCGCAGACCCGCGGAAGGAATGAGATAGGCCTTTGGCGTGCGCGCGGCTGTAGAGCGCGGCTGGACGGGAGAAATGAGAGAAGTTGAGCGGAGGGGAGGCGCACTTTGCGGAAGGGGAGGCAGCGGAAAGCGGCTGCGGAAGGTGGTGTGCCCCCGGCAGCTGCGCGGGCTGGCGGCGTGGCGGCTTCTCCGCGGACTGCTGCGAGGGTTCCTTAGGGGAGGGCGGCGGCAATAGCTGCGGAGAAACGGGAGCGGCCATGGCGCTGCTGCCTCGCGCTTCTTCCCCCCCGACTGCTACCGCCATACCCTCACCGTTGCTCTTCGCCCCTTCCGTTCCCCCTACTCCCGCGTCTCCAACGCTCGCCTGCGAAGGCGTTTCTAACGCAGCCTCGCCGTCGCCGCGCAGACGGCCGTCATTGGCGGCGGCGCCATCTTGATCAGGCGAGGGAGAGGCGGCAGTAGTGGCGGCGGCGGGTCCTTCGGTGGGACGGACTGCCCGCAGCGTGGAACCTGACGGCCTGCAGGCACCGTCGCCGGTTTCCGGCGATTTGACATCGGCAGCGGCGGCAGCGGCGGCGGGGGGAGCGGCGGAACCCTCGACGGAGTACTGAAGCCACGACTCCATCTCGTCCTCATCGTCGCGAAACAGCGCCGCGGCAGCGCCGTCGGTGGCGGCGCCCGCGGGGCCCAGCGCCGCCAGCAGATCGTTCTGGCTGGCGGCGGCGGGGTCGTCGAGCTCACCGTCGCGAAGCGCGGACGCGGAAGGCAGCGCGCGGGGGGCGCTGGGCGCCGCGGGGTCGGCCGCGGAGACGGGCAGAGGCTTGGCGGGAGCGCTGGGGTCCCCAGCGGCGTTCAGCCACGCGGTATCGAGAATGTCGTGGTCGGGACTGAAGGGGGGTGGGTGGGGGGAACGGTCGGGCAGGGCGGAAGGGCGATTGGCGCAAGGGGAACGGGCGGGAGGATACAGTGAGACCGAGAGACGGAGTAGGGGCAGGTAAGGAACGAGCATGCGTGCAGATGTGCAGTGAGTGAGTGAAACAAGGAGGTGAAAGAGGGAGGCGGCGAGAAAGTGAAGGCGAGGAGGGGGAGCTGGTAGACGGGAAGTGTGGGGGAGAGTTGGAGGGCGGCGCGGGGCTTACACGAAGGCGAGGTCGTCGAAGGGGGCGGACGATCGGCGGGGCGCGCGCTGCATCACCACCCACTTGGCCTTGAGCGACGGGAAGTCGTCGGTGAACGACGCCAAGTCAGCATCTCGCGACGCCATCTCAGATCGTAATATTCGTTCTAATCGGTGAGTTCGCTAGGGGAAGTAGTAGATACTAGCGATGGCGGCGGAACCTACACGGCGCGAATGCGGACGTCGAGGGCTTGCATGTGGTCGTGAAGGGGATAGACACACTACACGAACGGCATGCGCTACTTGATTCAAAGAAACTAGCACTGTAGGAATGCGGAAGGCTGATCAGCTGACTAACGGAAGCTCAACTGTGGGAAAACAACAGGGAGATCAGAATTCAGGACGTAAAGAGGATTTCCTCTTAGCAAGCACAGAGCAGAAGCAAACACAGCCCACGGTGTGTGCATCCAGCGCACAATGGAGCGATAGCCACTGCCGGCGTTTGGCCCATTCCCTCCACACAGAGCAGCATCTCACACTTCTCCCTCTCTGCATCGGGGTGGGGTGAGCTGGGCACTTGGCAGCCCGGCTGGACGCGGCAATGCAACGGAATGCAATGCAAGCCACCACAAGGCCTCCAATGTTGGGGCGGGGGGGGAGCGGCAAGTCACGCGCGCTGGTGGTGGTGGTGAGTGTGTAGGGGCTGCGGGAAAGGGGGAGCGATAGCAGCAGGGAAAGTACAGCGGGGGAAGCGAGGAAACGGGGAGGAGGAAAAGAAGGACGCGGTTCTGGCTGGCGAGACTGACAAACGTCAGAAACCCCCAATGGAGGAATGGCTCGAGTGGCAGTTGCATAATGATGACGGATTTCCGTCGCGTCGCTCTCCCGCTCGTGTTTGCTGCTTCTCTATCCAGCGCAACAGCTTTCGATGGGAAATGCATCGAGCTCGGCAGATCGCAGCCGCAAAATCAGTTCGTTCCACTGTGGAATCGAAGGTGTCCGCGCAAACACAAGGATGCATGGCTGGCAGAAGCATGCGGATCGTAGGAGAAAGGGAATATCGGTGGCTCTGGTCAGTCGGTATCAAATACGTGGCCACAGCTCCTCCAAGCTGCCCGTAACGGACAGCCTAAAAAATGAAATAACAACCCGATTATATACACACGGGTGACGTCAGCACATGCCGCCCCGCCCGCCCTGGCACAAAGGGAATTGAGGCAAAACGAAAAACCCGCGGAATCCCTCCGGGCCCCCGGAAATTCCCGGCTGACCAGGCCAAAAAACCCTACGAAACCCGCGGGTTCAAGTCGTATTCTTATGCCAATATATATGTCAGCCGCACTGCTGCAATTTCGGGGACATTTGTCGAACACTGCTCGACGGACATTGGCCAATCGCCGTCGAGCACTGTGCACCCCCGACAACACTGGTTACACCCGGTGGCAAGTCGCCAGGGCATCGCCTACACGGTGGCGCTGACGGTCTACGGTTGCGAAACCTGTTTCGCAACCGGCCGACGGTCGCAATCGACGGAGACGTCAACTGCGACCGACCTGTCGCCTCGTCGGTCGAGCGAACTGTCGCTGTCGGATGGGCGACGGGTCACGTCTGTCGCAGTCAAACGTTCACGTCAACTGCTGACTGCCACGTCAAATGTCTCAGTCTCCACGGGGAGCAACATCAGCCCAAGGTCGCTGTATAAACCTGAATTCATAGTAGAAGCACCACAGTTTTCTCAGCAGGCCAGGATTTAGGGAGAAACGGTAGCTTTCGGTGGGCACTGATGGAGACCGATCCGTCGACGACAGCGCCTTCCCGGCAGGCGGACGAAGGACGGATACCTGTCGAATTGGAGTCCATCTCGACACCACCCCCTTCGTCGTCTGGAGCCAGGCCGGTTTCTTCCGCGCCCCCTTAGACGACGCGTGCCATACCGGAGGTGGCAGCGCCCACCTCGACGTCGCGAGCCATACCGGTAGTAATACAGCCGGTTGTTACGGACCCACGTTCGACGGGTATTCCGGTCACTGTTGAAGTGGGTGGTGCACAGACCGAATTCCCTTCGACAGGTCAATCCATACCTGTTGTCGTAGAACCCATCTCGACAACAAATGCCCCCTTTACACACGAGGCTCCAGCTGACCGTGCACCATCGTCGACAGCCCACCGCTCGACGGAACCTTCGGCTGGTGCACCGACCTCGACAGGTGGGCGACGTAGGAGAGCGAGGGCTGTTCCGCCTGAGGTCCGCCAACCACCCCCAGCCGGCACATCCGCTTCTCGAGCCGCCCCCGCCGCTCCTAGGCGCACTTCGACGAGACCAAGCAGAGAGGACTTAGCCAGGAACGTCCCTGAAGCGACGGACGATAAGGATGTTCGGACGGGAGAACAGCGGGAGGCGGACGATGTCGAACTGCCGGACCCTCTGCGGCCTGCTGCGGCAAATATATCAGAGGAGGATGCCGCGCACATTCTCGGCGACCAACCGGGCGCAGACAATCCGTACTTGGCGACCGGAACACTTAAAAGCAGGATTCTCCGGTGTGAGGTTCCGCTGCTAGGAGTTGACCAGGATTCCACACGGCCGAACTATGTCTCTGGAAGCATGCACTACAAAGCTTGGGCCTGTAAAATTCTGGCACCCGAGAGAAGCAACGGAGTGCCTAAAGAGGAGCAGGTGATCTACGAGGACGAGATCGGTAGGGAGATCGGCGACGATATGGGGCCGAGATGGAGGGAGGCGCTGCGTAACGAGGAGCACCTGCATGGGCCGAAAATAACGAAATGGCGCTTGCGCGCGTACGTCGAATACATGTCGACTGAGACCGACCAACAGGTGGCATCGTTGGATACAGGCCGGACCAGAGTCGCTGGAAGGAAGGCGAAAAAAAGCACCCCTCCGATGATGCTGGCGCGCCTTACTGCGCTGACGTGCTTCTGCAGAGTAGAGGCCATACTCTTCGACGAGCCACTAACGAAACCCTTGGACGACATCACCGAGGCTCGGCAGCTTCTTGCGGTCAAGCTGCGGCAGCTGCACGACTTTCAGTTCGAGTAAGTAGGCTGCCATACACCGGACTCTAAAACTTTTCACTCAAATTCTCACCCAAGTACTCGCTGTATCTGCCCACTCAATGCAGGCAGTGTGTCGATCCACACCGGGGCTCGCTCGACGATGTTTACACGGAGGAGCAGTTCCGCATTCTCGTTTCAGACATCCTGCCGTACTGGGCCAAAGAGTACTTTCGGGAGCCGATGAGTTACCCCAGTCAGTCGCTGTGGAGGGCCTTGGCTGTGAGGGTGATGATCCTGATGGCGCATCACATGCTGGGCAGGGGGATAAGCATCCGCGAGATCCGCTACTGCAATATGTTCACTCACGTCCTTCCGCCCATCACGAACAGCAAGGGGGAATCGTCGATCCACGTTCTCGTGGTCGCCTATCGCAACTCAAAGACCATCAAAGACAACAAGCTCGGCCACCTGTACCTGACTCGACACATGGACTTCCGGCAGTGCGGCTTCAGAGCAGTGTTCATGTGGATACATTTCATTTTCGACCTTGTGCCGCCCCACTACAACAACGATAAGATCGTGTCCCCCTTGGATTTCAGCAGCTCGGAAAATTGGTCAAGGAAGCACCTGTTCTTCGCCCTCTTCGACAAGGACAAGATCGAGTTGCCGTACGCAACTCATGCCAAATGGGTTACCTGGGCAATGAAAAGCGCGGAGTGGATCGTGTCGAAAGTCACACATATCTTTCGACGGTCTGCGGCACAGATCCTCGCCGACAAAAACTGTGAACTCGACAACATCGCGCAGCTGGGTCAATGGGACATGAACGAGATGCGCATGTCATACGTCACAGGCATCCCGCGCGGGGCCATCCAGCTGCAAGCGGGTTTCACGACGGAACCGGGTGACTATTACCTTGGAAGATCGAAGAGCGAAGTACACGCGAAGGTCCTGAAGGCTATCGAGGAGCACATATTTCCAAAGGCGGAGCAGTGGCTCGACGAGGTATGGATGCGTCGAGCGCTTAGTGTGATCATCGAATGCAAGTTTTGCCCGTCTATCTCTCAATGTCACCACGTTTGTTCTTGTTCAGGCGATGGAATGGAACAACGAGCAGGACAAGGAGCATATATGTTCTTCGCAGCAAAAAGTTTCTTGAAGGCCCTGCAAGCCGCCCGAATGCCCATCGCCGAGGATCTTGCGATGTACTACGTCCATTGTGACAACCACCCCTTCGACGGAGTGACTGTTTGCGACTGCGAGCGTCACCCTTATGCACAGATGTCCGGTTTGTGCAAGGACATGGATTTCCAAAAATGGGTGCTTGACGTGTACCTGCTCGACAAGTACAGCATCGAGATGCGGACCAACCCCACGCTGTCGAGAGCTTCGGTAAGATGGCCCTTCTAAATCTTAATCCGAACAGATTGCATCAGCCCACTTACCTACCGCTCGTGATCTTGTGCGCAGGACGCATCCTTTCAACTCAACACCAAGCACCTCATCACGCAACTTCGAGCAGAGGTTAACTTACACAAGGAGGAGGGTGGGAAAAAAGAAATCAAGATCAAGGGCCTCGAGCAGAAGGTCGAGTCATTGGAGCGGGAGAAGGGCGCGATGCAAGTGGAGTTGGAGGCAAAGGCAGAAGCACTCGCGCTACTGCAGAAAGCGTTCGACGCACTGAAGATTACCGACGCGACAACCGCAGCTGCGAATGTGGGGGGGAGCGAGAGAGTGCCGTAGACCACGACCGAAGAAACCACCCCGCCACCACAGCAACCCCCTCAATCAACGCCCACTCAACAGAGCAAGGGTAGCCAGCTCGACCAAGCATTCTTCGACGCAGTGGTGTGGCCGTGGTGCAATTGCGAGACCGTGCGGCAGGCGTGGTCGTACTGGGACAGGCCAAGCCCGCTGAACAACGGACACAGTCTTCGACACGCTTACAAGAGGGGTTTCGCCGTCAAGTTCAGCAAGTTCACTCCGACTCCTCCCACCGTTCCCCTCGTTGCGGTGGACACGCCAAAAGAAAAGCCACCGACCCCAAAAGTTGTCGAGTCGAAATTGCGGAAGATGGAGGTTATCATGAGGGCCGTCGAGATGTTCAGGGTCGACGACAGCAGCGCGGCTACGTCGACGATCATTGATAAGCTTGACTCAATAGTCACGAACCACTCGATCAACATGCTGGCTGAAGGGCTCGTTCTCAAAGAGGATTCGAGGAAGCAGCTCACAAAGAAGCGCAAAGTCGAGACAGCAGAAGACAACCGGAAGGACAAAGATCGCCTCGGGATCACGCGGGAGCTCATTCGCGTCGAGCTTCGAACCACGAAATGGGCCGAGAACGTGTTCTAAGACAAATGGAAAGAGTTCATGAAAACATTGGGCGAGAGCCCAAGTTCGACAGGCAATCGTGACGAGGGGGGAAACTAGAGTAGGGTGTTCTTTCAGAGATTGCATGGCAGGTTCTCATTACTGTCCGACCATCTCGCCTGTATGAACCTTCTGAGCATTATCGCAAACGGAAAGTCAAGATCCATGCAACATGTACATTCTGTCGATTAAACTTTGGAAACAACAAACACAACTGTCGAGAATAGCAAACACCCCCACGCAAAGTGCCCGCCTAGACTACTCCCCTTGCCCGCCCGTTTCCGTCTCAGCTGCATCCTCGTCGCCCTACTTCGCCTTGCTCTTTTCTTCTGGCATAGCCAGGCTGCCATAGCCCGCGTCCTCCAGCAAGCGGGCAGCAGCTCGACAGCAGCACCATTGCGTACAGACCTGTGCTGCCATGCGCAGCATCTGCAGCAGTATGGCGTCCGTCGAGCCGAGACCTTCGACAGCCGACGAATACAGGTGATCGGGTCACTGCTTCGCCGGGAAGGTCTTGCCGACGTGCAAAAGTATGGACACGAGTGCGGACATGGCAGCCACACAAGCCTTCTTTGCAGTCTCCGGGGCGTAGATCGCCGTGCTTGCGGCAACTAGGGAATCCTTCTTAATATCCTCCCTCGACAACTTCCTGCAGGCCGCCCACAAGCTCGTCACAGTTGCTGCGATGGCCATCATGTGCGGTGTCGCCGCCATGCCCTTCGGGACCGGGTAAATCAGATTCCCGTGCTTCAGGCCAAGCGTCGCGACCTTACCAATCGCCACGCACAGCGCGATTCCCCTCTCGGTTCCAGCTTTCACTTCCTTTTTTGCCGTCGCCAACAGCGACAGGTAACTGCACATCGCAAGAAATGCGTTAGTCAAGAGGCCAGAATTCGACCGACAGCACATTCACCGCAAAACAGCAGGTGTTCGACAATTCACCAAAACAGCATGAATTCGACAGCAGAGTCTAGCAACATGACTTCGACAGGACTTACTCGTCGAAACGACATTCCCCTTGTTCTTGCGCCACGCTCCAAACGCCGGTTGGCATTTATGCGGCCGCATCGAGGTAGACCTTCCAGTCCTCCTCATCCTGCGCCGTGTACCCTTCGTACTCCGTAAGGACAACGTCGGGGAAGTATACGCGCCAGCAGACGGCCGTACAGAACTTCTGATCCTTCTTTGTTTCAGAAGTGCCAAGGAACCGCTTCCTCCCGCCGACGGTCTGCTCGAAAACCGGCTTCCCCTTCCGCAACCCGAAACCCGGTCCTTTGAAGGGACGTTTGCAGCCTCTCGTCTTGCCTTGGTCGTCCGGTCGAGGAGGTGGGGTGTGACCCGTGACCCTGGCCTTCTTCGCCTTTTCCTGTCGAGCAGCAACGACACTAGAGGTCTTCTCGACAGGCGCCTGACCAGGGACGCTGGCCAGCTCCACCACGTCAAGGCTCTCTGTCGCGTGTGCAGCGCGCTTCGACGACTTCGGTGCAGCCGGCTTCTTCTTCGACGTTGAAGGGGAGCCCGGATCGCTAAGGCAAATGTTGCCTAGGGACGAAGCAGCGGCGACAGGAGCAACTAGAGGGGTTGAGGAAGACGCCCAATTTCCCACAAGCCCGACAGCAAGGCCAGCACCACCGCCGTGCGCAGCTGATGTCGCTTTAGTCTTTGACAGCAACCCAGCGCTTGCTTCTCCCGCTCCTTTCCCCGCACCGCCGCCTGACGGGGTAGAGGCACCTCGCATTCCTAGGGCTCTGTTCCCGATCGAGGCGACGTGCTCGTTCGGGGCACCACTTTTCTCCCTCACGACCACTCCTTTCCCACCCGTTTTCCCCAGGCCTTGCAGCATGTCCCGCATCGAAGCAAACGCATCAGGTGGATCGATCGGAGGCGCTACGGAGGTCTTCGGGAGGGCTGACTGGTCGAGTACGATGACTTCCTCGACGGGCTTGGCGACGGGATGACGGCCACGCGCCAGTGGGGATCCAACCGGGCTGCCGACATGTCCTCCCACCGAAGAAGACGGAGGAACCGACCGCTCGTGATCTCGAGGCTCAGCCTCGCTGCAAACCCCTCCCACACCCTCCTGACGCGACCTCGTCGACGGGCCCGCCGAGCGCTGAAAACCTCTCGCCATCGCTTCGGCGAGGACTTCGAACCTCCCTGCTTTGGCTTCATGGTAACCTTCCCTCACAATGTCCTTCAGCTCCTTCATGGTCTCGGGTGGGAGGGTGGAGCAGAACATGTCCTCCATGATGGCTTTCTCGAAACCCTTAAGCACCGCAGCAACCAGCCGCTCCTCGACCTGCTTGAGCTGCTTCTCGACGGCGTCCTCGCTCGCTTTTGTGATGGCGGCTGCCACCCCCTCAATGATCTTCCCGCTCATCTCGTCGATCTTCGCCCGCGCCCCTTCCAACAGGTTCCTCTCCGCCGTGACACCCTTCACAGCCTTGGCGCACTGCGACAGTGTGCTCTTCGACGACTCCGAAATCGTATTCCACGCCGTCCGAAAATCTGCAGCAAGCCTGTTGAATACTCCGGCTTGCTCAGTGTGTTTCGCAAATACATCGACGACGAGCTGCTTCTGCGACGCCTCGATCTTCTCGACCCTCTGCAGTAGCTCGACGACCTGGCCTCCGGGTGCAACGTTCGCCGTCGATTGGCCTGCCGTCGAAGGCCACCCGGTCGAAGGGCCCGCCTGTCCGCTGCCACTGGCCGTGCGGTGACTCCTTGTTACGGCGGCCTGTCGCTCATCTCCTCGACGATACTCCTCAGCAGCCTCCCCGTCCTCCTGCTCCTGCCCTCCCGACCCACCCACCCGCGCAGCCGCAACCCTAAACTCCTGATGCTGCCCTCCTGCCCCGCCCTCCTGCGCAGCCGCCTCGCCCACCACCTGCTGCTGCCCTCCGACCCCACCTTCCCGCGCAGCCGCTCCACCCTCCTGCTCCTCGACAGCCTTAGTTTCCCCTGTTGCCTGCTGCTCGATAAGCTCTACTCGCTCGTCCACCCGCTCCCCGAGCGCCACTCCGTGCTCCCCCGTACGCTCCGTTCTATGTCCGGCGCCCTCGCCGTCGTCCTCGACCGACTCATCGCTCGAGCTCGAGCCGGAGCTCGATCCCGAGCTCGAGTCCTCGTCCTGGTTCGCATCGCCGCCCGGGCCGCTCGCCCCGTGCTGAGCCTGCCTCGATGTATCCTCCTCGATCTCCTCCTCCTCCTCGAGGCTGTACTCAATCACGACGCATCCCGTCTGAGAAGATTGAAACGAGAATGGGATGAACTATGAATGAACTGAGTACAAGTACTAACCCTAATTGGGTTGTACCCCTTATGGGCTACCCCACTATAGCCTACAAAATAAGCACAAGCTATATGTTCTGACACACCCCCATAGGCAAAGTGGGGGAGAACAAGGGGTCACAAGACCAGTCAAGCAAAGCAAAGCAAAGCAAGCTCAGGGTGGATCACAAAGTAACCACACATTCCGAGCACGAGATCAAGGCCACAAGGCCAGTTCACATGCAGGAGTACATATATATATAAGGCTAGACAAGCAAGAGCAGGTATATATATATATGTAACAGTACAAGCAAGGTGAAGAAGTGAGCAAGTGAGGCAAGACAGGTACAAGACCCAGCAGGGTGCAGAAGCGCTGATGATCACAAGGCGCAAGTGCCTTGGTGAAGACATCAGCAGTGTTGGCCTCAGAGGCCACGTACGCAAGTCGCAACTGACCACGCTGCTGTAGCTCACGAGCAAGGAAGTAGCGAAGAGCAATGTGCTTTGTACTGTGCTCCACTCTCTGCTCTCGACACAAGGCCAGCATGGCCTTGTTGTCTACGTACAGGACTGGAGGAGAACGAGGCGACTCTCCAAGGTCGGTCAGCAGGTAGGTGAGCCAGCGAAGCTCCTGTGCAGCTATGGCCCCGGCGTAGATCTCAGCCTCACAACTGGAGCCGAGAACAGAAGACGAGCGAGTAGCCCGCCACGAAACAGAGCCGAAACCAAGGCTGAAGGTGTAACCCTGTGACGACCGCTGCGTAGCCTGGTTGTCAGCCCAAGAAGCGTCCGCGTGCCCAGTGAGGACTACTGGACACCGCCCTCCAAGCACTAGCCCCATGCCCGACATACTTCACAAGTAGCGCAACACCCTCTTCGCTGCAGCCATGTGCTCTGGTCGGTGTCTCCCAGGAGCAACATAGCGTGCAAGAATGCTCAGAGGGTATGCAAGGTCAGGCCGTGTGCAGGTCATCAGGTACATGAGGCAGCCAACAAGCTCTGGGTACGGGCCACTCGACTCTACGGACTCATCCGAAGGCAGAGCTGAGAGCGAGTGGCGAGTAGACAGAGGAGTGGCCTGAGGCGAGGAGTACGTGAAG